CAGCTGGGAGCAGTCAATACTTGACAGGATGGGAGGAGCGGGGGAATACACCAAAAGATGCTGAGGAACATCTAGAAAAACAAGAGTACAGGAGGAAGCCCAGGGGCAGAAGTTTCTACAAGTTCCAATGCTTCACCTTAGGGGTTAAGGGCTTGCTGGTTGGGATCTTAGAAGTCATAGTGTCAGGCAGGAGTCAGATCTGCAGGAAGCAGAAGAGTGAAAGAAAGGGGAGATGGACACACAGAGAACCTATCATCCCTTCCAAGAAGCTTGCTGTAAGACAGACAACATAGAGTCAAAAAACGGGTAGTCATCAGGTGGGTAAGCCTGTCAGATTGCTCAGGAAAATGCCCCAGAATGTAAGTAGAAGTGAAAGTTCAGAGAAAGAGCAAACAGACAAGTGGGAGAGAGGAACAGGTGCAGATTGCTGGGCTTAGGGGAAGCAAAGGAGAAAAATGTGTCTAGACCACAGTCTAGGACAGGGCCATGTATCTCATAGACTCAGATAAAGTAGGGAGGGCAGCGTGTAAGAACCCCAAGTGGGAGGGAGAAACTGAGCAGAGTTCAAAAGGGCAGCTTCTCCTTGACCTGGAAGACAGGAAGGAGGCGGACTGTGATTGGGCACTTGAGAAAAATGACGGTTTGAACTACTCAATTTTGGAAGAATGGGATAGTGACCAAGAACTCACAAAGAGAAGGTGGGTGTGCAGGGCAGAGTCAAGATAAGAGCACAAAGGGCTGGGCAGATGCTGGCTGCCACCAGCTCCAACTGTTCTAGGTCTGTGAACACAAAGGATAGAACAGTCAGGACTACTGAACTCGGAAGTCAGTGACGTGGAGTCTTCAGTGAACTCAGGCCTCAGGAGTGTCATGAAAGCAGAGGGCTAGGGAACTCTGGCAGACACTGAGGAGATGCACCAGAGGCTGTACCTGATTTCAGAGTACCCAGATACCCGGGGACTGCTGAGTATGCAAGTCAATTACCTGCTGAAGGCTTCTACCATTGTACAACGAGGTTCCAAACACTTGGTCCTGATGCTACTGGTAATGTCTTTCCTCTCCTTAAAGTATCGACAGGAACCCTGGATGCCATCCTTATTCTCTAAGATCATATGAATTGGGTAGACATCCTCCAGAGTGACTGGGTCTCTCCTGGACTCCAAAATTCCAGTTTCCAAGTCAATTTCTTCATATCTAGGGAGGAAAACACATTCATAAAACTCCAACTCGGCCTCAGAGATAACATGCACCTGGCATCTTCTGCCAAGTCCCTCTGGAGACCAGAGGGAAGAACAGTTGAGGTCACACAGTCTCGCTCTCACAAACACAATCTTTTTCTTTTTTTCAGGCAGTACTTCTTTACAGCCTGGACGGGCCTTGAATTTCAGATGCTTCTGCCTCAGCTTCCTGAGTGCTAGGATTACAAGCAGGCAACACTATGCCTGGCCTGCAGTTAATCTTGACAAGCAGGTTTTTTGCCCTTCTTTGAGACACGGTCTCATGTATTCTAAGCAAGCTTGAGATCAATATATAGCCAAGTATGGCCTTACTTCCCACATGCTGGGATCACAGGAATAATCCCACGATAGCTGCTTTACGGAGTTCTAAGGCTCAAGCCAACTGAGCTACAACTCCAGCCCAGGTTCTCCCCTCTCTATTGCAGAGAAAAAGATCCCTCTACGATCCCAACCACCCAGAATCGGATATGTGGTCCACCTTACTGGCCAAAGCCTTTTGCTTCCCTTCCAGATCTAATTTCTGGTCCCTAGATCACCCACCAAGGATGTCCTCCTCTGACCGCTTCCTTTCTTTCATCATCTTTCCAGTTCCCTTATTTATTTTTAATGTTTTGATATTGCCTGCATGCAAACAATTCTCATCTTAGAACGCCCAGGCTTGTCTTTGGTTCTGTGGTAGTGGGATAGAAGTTGGAGCCTTGCCCATGCTGGGCAAGCCATACATATCCCTAGCCCCTTGGTTTCTCCTATTTCCCCCTAAACACCAATTCAAGCCTTTAGAAGTCTATCAAGCACCTCAAATTCCATGACCTCAAACAGGCCTGCTTTCCCATCTCCCATCCAGTGACCCTGGAGCCCAGCACAGCCTCTCAGCTGCCTCTTATCAGCCAACATCTTTAAGTTTCCTCCTGTAAGCTTTGGAGCCTGGCTAGCATCCTTCTCTAGTATAAACGAGGCGACAAATCTGTACTTTTAAACTTTTTAGAAAACTGTTGTCCTTCCTGTGAACTCTGTCCTATATAACCCTCACTTTTCAGGTCTTCCAGGACACACTGTGTCCTGTTCTCTCCTTCTCCACCTACACTTTAATCTTGGTTGAAAGTGCTGCCTCCTCCATCCAGCCTTGAAATGTAGGTGTAGCTTTGAGATGTGTCCAATCACAGCGCTCTTCTGGGGATGATCTCTTGGTTACCAAGTGCCCAGCATGACTCACGCAGGTCTAGCCCAGTCCCTCCCACTGGCTGCTTTACCCACCAGGCTTCTGTTTACTAAACAGAATCTTCTCTTAGACTCAAAGAAGAATCACAGTACAGTTAGCGCTCTCCCAGACTCACCCACTGCTCTTCCCCCACTCAGGTATCTCAGCAGCAGACACCAAGTACAGAGACCTCCATTTCTGTCTTTCCACATCACCAGTCACCAAATTCTCTCTCTCTCTGGACTGTCTTCCCAACATGTCTTTTTATTCGTTTTTAAATAAGTAAATAAACAAATAAATGCATCTTATTTATGTTTTTGTTTTGTTTTTTTGGGACAAGGTCTCTCTGTGTAACAAGTCCTGGACTGTCTTTGTAGACCAGACTGGCCTGGAACTCACAGAGATCCACCTGCCTCTGCCTCCCAAGTTCTGGGATCAATGGCATGGCCACGATGCACGGCCCTTACTTTGTTTTTTTTTGAGCCTGGGTTTCTCTGTGTAGCCGTGGCTGTGCTGAAACTCACTTTGTAGAACAGGCTGGCCTCAACCTCAGAGATCCCGCCTGCCTCTCCACAAAGTCATGTGCGGCCACCACCACCTGGATCGTTTTGGTTTTTTATTCTTTTTTTTTTTTTTTTTTTTTTTTTTAACATGGGTTCTCACCCTGTAGCTGGAGAGCTGGTCTTGAATTCAGATCCTCCTGCCTGAGCCTGCAAGGATTACAAGTGTGTGCCACTATGCCTGGCTATCTGGTATTCTTGATCCCATCCCAAACATGAGAAAACAGCCCCTGACTGGTTGTGACTCTGCCACTAGTCTCACTCCCCCTTCGGTGACTTCCTACTGCCTTTGTGGTAAAGAACACCTTCTTCCAGTGGATTAAATCATCACAGGTTCTCTCTCAGTCAAATCTGGTGAAGGACAGAGCGGATAGCTGGACCTAGGTTTCTGGATTCAAGGTCTAGAATCTGTTTTTACTAGCTGATGATTTGACCACTTTAGCCCTTGAGCCCTGTTTTCTCTTCAGAATGCCCATTTGTCAGGGCGTTGTAAAAGTTTCTGCACCGTGTGGGTTATCTCAGTCACACCTCCCAAGCAGCACACATTCTCTGCTCCCAAGCTTACCTCTCTCCTGCTGGGCTATACCCTATTTGGTGCTGTCTGTTCAGAGCACTTTTTGCAAAGTGGCCGCCTAAATCTAAACTTGTCTGGCTCGTCACTACCTCTAGGAACCTCCTCTGACCTTCATAATATAGCTTAAGAGCTCCGACTTGCAGGGCATGGTGGGACACGCATGCAATCCAGGTGCTAGGGTGCAGAGGTGGGAGGATACAAAAGCCAGACAGTCAGCCCTTTCTTAACAAAACAAAGCAAACATAACAAAACAAAACACAAAAATTGAAGAGGATAAGCTGAGGCTAACGGTGTTCTCAGTGGTAGAATCATGTCTAGAACACACAAGGGGCTGGATTCTATTCCTGGAGAGGGACGGATAAACAGAAGGAGGAAAAAGAAAAAGTGCATTTAGCAATTCCTACATCCTGTACTCGCCCCTCCACCTCTCTGTGGTCAGCTCCCTCCTCTGTAAAATGAAAAGTGTCTCACTCACACAGTCACAGAAAACTGAGTTCTGTCGCTTCTAGAACTGGGTCTTGGAACCCACTTCTGGGAAGCGCCCAAGAATACACCTCGGCTGTTCTTTCACTGCTATGTTTGGTGCTGTGCAGACCTCCCGTGGCCTGAGCTTTCAGAACGAGCGCTCCCTAAAGGTCCCCGAAGGACCTCACCTGGTTCCACTTTTCAACCACTTTCCTACTCCCTTCCTCTCACCCAACTTAAAGGAACCCTTCGACTCCCTCGACACCCTGCGAAACTATCGGGTCCCGGCGGATGCTCCCCTCCCCCAGCTCATCCCTCTCGGGCCTTGCCAGGGCGCCGGGAGCCCAGGTTAACCCGCCTCCCGCGCCCATCCCCCACGTCTCCGCGCTGCACCGCCCCACCCCTCTCCCCAAGGCTCTCAGCCCCCACCCCACCCTGGTAGCTGACCGGTCTTGAAGCTGCAGGTCCGGTCGCTCTCGTGGCTCCTCATAAAAACTGATGCCCGGGTGCGTGGCTAGGGCCCGCCACAGAAACTCCTGCGTGTAGGGCTCCAGCATCAATGGGAAGGGAGGCGAGCGGGACTCCAGGCGGCTCCACAGCGCGGGCAGACACAGGCCGTCGAGCCCCTCCAAGGCTACCTCGTCTAACAACGACTCGAGGGCGTCCATGGCCGCTTCAGTTAGCAGCGCCCCCGGCGCCTGCGCACTTCGCCGCCGAGGCTCGGGCCCTGTGAGACTGCGCACAGCGGTCGGCGGCCTGGGGAAGGCGGGCCAGACACGCAGAGCGGAGGGGTAGTCCCAGGGCTGCTCCGTGACGTCACGCTTCCCGTGGGCGGGCTTAATGGACGGGGCCTCTTCGCCATTGGTCCGGAATCTCGTAGTAACCAGGGGAACTGCAAACACACAGGCCGCTTCCGGTTCGGGAGCCCGGAACCGCCGCCTCTAGGGATGGACGGTTAGTGTCCGTGGGCCCCGCCGGGAGGTCGGGCGGCAGTCCACTCATCCCTCGGAGGCGCCCCTGGGCGGAATGCCAGGCCGCAGGGTCCCCGGCCCAGGATAGTGTCCAGCCCGAGGGAAAGGGTCTAGACGGCGGTGCGGGATGGGGACCGCGGCAGGCAATGTTCTTGTAGGAAGCCCTCTTGAGGTCTCGGTAGGGGGGACGGGGAAGAGATTGGCGTTGAGGAGGCCTGCGAAGGATCAAGGTGATTCCGGGATGGGCACTGGGCATGTGGAAGTTGGTTGGAGGTAAGCGTGCCTCCTGGGAGTACATTTGACAGCTACTGGCGTCAGGAATGGAGGGCAACGTCTGGGAATGCTTCTGTGTGCTTTGGTGTTGTTGGTAGCTCATGTTAACTGAGTACTATTCGCTGCCAGGGCCTCTGTAACTACCGACAAGTAAAAACGTTTCACAGCAATCCTTTGGGCTAGTTAATTCATTTTACAGACGAGGGCGCTGAGGCTAAGAGAAGGCAAGCAACTTGCCTGCCCAAATTCAAATAGCTAAGAAGAGGCAGCTTGAGTAAGACTCGTGGACACTGTGTCTGAAGTAGAATTATGGGAGTTTGAGATGTGAAGAGGTTTTACAGGAGCCTTTCATTCCAGAGCTTGCCAATGTACATGTCTACAGGTACAGCCTTCCTGGGCTGTGACCGAAAACTGGTTTCCAGTCTGTCAAGAAGCTGCTGCTCAGATCTAGCCACATGTTTCAGGAGCAAATCTCGAACTATGACAGCCAGTCAGCTTTTAGACCAGAGGCAGCCTGTTTAGAATCATTAAGGGTGCTCACAAGCTCCCTTCTCCCCCATCATAGCTATTCTGATATCCAGCTTTTCAGATGGGAACACTGATGTCCTTGGAGACTGGAAGGGCCTATGCTATTCATAGTACATTAATGCCCCTTACTTCTGGGGAATTTGCATTTCTTTAATAGCCAGTGGATGCAGCATGGAAAGACATGTTACCATTGACTGTGTTACAAATGCTTAAAAGATGTCTTTGTCCTTTGCACTCTAGACACTATTTTAAAAAAATGTGTTATACAAGTTTCCCTGTGGGAAGGTCCATGTAGTGCTGCTGTAGAACACAAGGTCTTAAATCTTTCAGGCCTTGGACAGCTGTAAGCACTTTAAAAGTCCTTTGCTCGCATGTATTATATCTGTGATGTTGCCATTTAAATACAAAGTGTCAAAACATCACTTCATTTAGAATTAACATCAAGCCAGGAGTGTTGGCACAGGCCTCTTTTCCCAGCATTCAGGAGTTCTCTGAGTTCCACTATGGCCTTTTTAACAAAGTGAATTACAGGTCAACCAAAGCTACATAGTGAAACCCTGTTTCTCAAAACAAACAAAAACCCAATAGACTTTAATGCCTAAACTTATTTTTAATGAAAATAGCTATGTATTCCCCTCCCCCAAATAGTTTTTTAAAAAGTACTGCTTTACACTTCCTCTCTCCCTCTCTTTTTCTCTCTTTCCATTCCTGATTTTGTTTTGTTTTGATACAGGGTCTCTCGTAGCTCAGGCTAGTTTTAGACTTGCTGTGTAGACAGGAGGAACTTAAGCTGTAGATCCACCATGCCACTTAACTGGCTTTCTTTTTTTTTTTTTTACTTTTTTAGGAGTAGGGATTAAACTCATGACCTCATTTATGCTAGGCAGCTGTGCCAGAGTTGAGCTTTATACCAAATGGCTGTCCCACCCCTTTTAAGACAGTCTCAGTAAGTTGCTTGGGCTAGCCTTGAACCTTTGAACCTCCTGCTTTATTAGCATGAGAAACTGTACCTGGCTACTTTACATTTTCCAAGTCTCCATGTCTAGCTTAGTAGAACAGCTAAGCCAGATGCACATGGGGAGTGTATGTCTGTTGTCCCAGCACTTGGAGGCTGAGGAAGGAGAGTGGCTTCAAGCTAATTTGACCTGTATAGTGAGATCTTGTCTCAAAGAGCCAAAAGGAGGCAGCTGAACTCTTCTGCTTTAAGATCCTAACTACTACTACTAATAATTGTGCTACTTTGGCTAAGGAATTTGAACAAATAGCATTGCACCTACATAAGTGCATGGGGAAATGAGTATCATTACTGTTTCCGATAATTTGACACATTGGCACTACATCAAAACTTAGCGAGTGACAGTTTCTAAAAGGTCAATCACAATGTGGTTAGTGAACTTGGGACTCATGAAATGAATTCCATTTGTCTGTTTGATCTATAGCCCTTTTGATCTATGGGCTATTTCCCCCATATCCAATTTTATAGTTCAGCTATTGGTCATTTGGAAACAGCTGCTCAGTAGCATTCAAATCCTCTAAATGGTGACATTAGGCACTACCCAGTATCAAAAAAAAAAAAAAAAAAAAAAAAAAAAAGGTGGGGTGGCTGTGATGGTACACACCGTTAATCCTGGCACTCAGGGAGGGAGAGGCAGGCCGCCTGGTCTACAAAGCGACTCCAGGACAGCCAAGGCCACACACAGAAACCCTTATTGTGAAAAACCAAAAGGAAAAAAAAAATTACAGTAGGAGCTGAACATGCTGTTTCACACCTATAATCCTAACACTTGGGAGCCAGAGACAGGAAAAGCCCGAGTTTGAGACCATCCTGGTTTAGTTTACAGAGTAAGACTTTGTCTTAAAAAGCTAAGAATAATGAGTCATAATATTATAACTGACACCAACTTCTCTGTTTTGTACGAAAGAGACAAGTTGCTAAAGCAACGAAAGCACCTTGCTACTTGCCTTCCCTTGAAAACTTGTTTTATCATTGGCAGCAAATATTGTCAGTTGTTTCCCTGGTGACAGGCTCACTTCATGTGTGTCTGAGAAAATATCTGCCAGGTCCCCAAATCTAAAGAGCCATAATTTGTGTCTCATTCATATAGGTAAAAATAATATTCTATACAAGATACTATTAGTTCATCTGGCAGCTTTCATCATTTCTTGGTGTTTCTGGGATGAACTGTTGTTCTTGATGGATAGTTCCCCTTACTTCACATGAAATATTAAAATGATACACATGGCCTGAGAGTTTAGAAAATAATTATTTACTCTTTTACCAGGCTAGTTTTGTTACTGTTTTCAAGACAAGGTCTCATTATGTAGCTTTGGCTGTCCTGGAAACTGGCCCTGAACTCACAAGTAATTTTTCGAGACAGGGTTTCTCTGTGTAAAAGCCCTGGCTCTTCTGGACTCACCTTGTAGACCAGGCTGGCCTCAAACACATAGATAACTACCTGCCTCTGCCTCTTGAGTGCTGGGGTAAAGGCATGCACCACCCTGCCTGGCTCATCAGGCTTTTCTTAAGTGAAGTTTATTCAGCATTTGTTTGCCTGTGGCACGAAGTACACATCAATAAGGAATACAATAGCCATTTGTACTTTTTGAAACTATGGCCTGGATTTAAGCTAAAAGCATTTTTGCTTATTTTTGTTTTGCTCCATTAGTCAGAACTCAACACAGGAGAAGTTGTAGAGTTATGATAAAAATCACTTTGTATGTGTAGACTCCTCCATTGCCCAGGATCTGTGGACACACTTTGATATGAATCGTTACAGGACGTTTTGAGAAGTGACTTGGCCACTTTTGCTCACTCAGCACCTCTGCACCCCTACAGCGTGTTAATAGCCATAGAGGATCTGTGATGTTTCAGCTAGGTGGCATGAGGAATGCTTTATTCCAGGAAGGTATTTACCCTAAAATTAGACTTTAAATCCTAGTTTCCATTCTGACTTTTAATTTGTTTAAATGTGTGAGGGCCTGTGTGCCATGGCATGCTTGTGGAAACTACCATTTGGGTCAGGAATCCAAGACACCTATGTAGCCATGGCTAGCCTGGAACTCACTATGTAGACCAAGTTGACTTCAAATTTAAAGAGATTTGGCCTGCCTCTGCCTCCCTGGTGTTGGGATTAAAGGTGTGTACTGCCATGCCTGGCATTTTTATACCTAACTTTGTAATCATGTGTCTTATGGATTTTGAAGAACATCATGCTGTAGGTGAATTGTGATTCTAGCCAACTAGGTAAAGCCACTGGCTGTATTCGAAAATCATTTGCTTCCTAAACTTGTTGCTTAAATGTCTGACAAGTCTTCCTGAGCTGGGTTGTGCTTTATTCTGCCCTTTGCTGTGCCTGTTTTTCTCTGGCCTGTTGGTTTGATTGAGGCTATCTAGTCTCTGTGTTGTAGTTTGGGTGAAGCTTCTAGATTTGGTCTAAGTAGTCCTGGATTGCCATCTCAGGTGTGTGGTCTCTGAGCCTGATTTCCTGTCAGTGAGTTGGATACAATTTGTAAAATATCTCCAGGCCAAGTATGGTGATGTACACTATCAACGAAGCACTTGGGAGGCGGAGACAGGAGGATTGTGAGCTCATGACAAGCCTACGCTCATAGCACCCCCACCCACCCTCACCTCCCACCTGCCCACCCACTCTCATCCTCAACCCCTGTCTTAAAAATGGAAAACAAAGTATTTGTAGCTGATTATAATGGTACGTGCAGACAGACTTCTTGCAAGCTGCTGCCGAAGAGAACAGGCACATTCTCTCTTTGGGTTTCTCTTTTTCTCCCTCTCTCCCCAAGGCTAGGCCTCTTATAGCCCATTCTGGCCTGGAACTAGATTTGTAACGGAGGATGAACTTGAACTCCTGATCTACCAGTCTCCAACACAGGATAATCTTTGTAACCAGTGTACTCTTTGTTCTGAGGATTTTGTGTTTGCTTTTTATTTTATTTTTTTTTAATGCTCATGAAGGTAATTGGCCATGCAAGCATCCTCTGCCTATGAAAATGTTTGCCTTTGTATTAAAGTCAAATTTTCTCCAGTGAGAGATGGTTGAGGACAATTGTTCTCAGTCTTTGGGGGACATGATAATTAGAGAAAAGCTCATCACATCAGTGCTATTAGAAAGGATTTTAAAGTTGGTTCATTTGTCTTTACCGCCATGGAAGCAAATATTCAACATTCCCCTGTTGGTACACCAACCATTTGCTTAGCAAACTTTCTCAAAGATTAATAATGTCAAGATGAAATTTTGCCTGGCTTCTCTAGATGATCCCAAACTGTAGAACAGGCAGTGATGACGCCTGAGGCTTCGCTTGGAGCACACTGCCATTCACCAGGGCAAGAGTTTGGACCTTGTGTGATACATGCCGGGCTCTAGAAATGTTTGTTTCTCTTATTGCTTAAAACAAGCATGAGAAAACCAGAAGATTGGTCTGCAGCTGGCAAAATAAACATGTGCCCTGTGTGC